CTAACTGCACAGTCTGTGCCCATAGCCACAGGGGACCTCAGGGCCCGCTACCATCTTTCCTGATCTCATAGGACCCTCCGTGCAGATGGGCTGGTGCATGTTAGCCATGGGATGGTCAAGCGGGTAGAACCAAGAGCTCTGGCTTCAGAGGAAGGAATGCCCACTGACTTACATTAGCGGCCCTAGAAACTCATTTTCCATCTTATGGCTAACTCTGCTGCCTGGAACTTATCACTGGTCCCTGCCCATGGCAGCATCACCAGAAAAGTGTTCTGAAAACTGAATCGGAATGCCTGGGTTCCAGGACCGGTTTCATCAAGGATGTTGTGTGTCTTTCAGCCCTATGCCTCCTATGGGCAATGGGAGGCTTTTTGTCACTCCAGTGACACTCTCCAGGCTGGAAACAACCTGTTCAGGGCTCAGCCTGGCTTCTCTTGGGGACAGGATCCCTACCCTCCATATGAGTTGATGCGTTGGACACTTGGTCTACAATGGAGTTCGTTCTGGTTCTCAGATCATTTGAGGTGTCTTTTCTTAGTGGTTCTTCTCCATTCTCTGCCTCCTCTCCTCCCCCAATCAACTCGACATTCATTACCAAGATTATTAAAAGGGTAGCTCCGATAACATTGTTCCCTGGGTCAGAAACCATCAGTGGCTCAGAAACCATGCAGAGGTCTTTAATGGATAAGCTAAAGAAGTCGGAGAAAAGATGTTTTAAAGGTTGCTAAAGAAAAGAAGAAAATGAGCAGTAGTGGAAGAACAAGGGTCCACAAGCCACGGTGGCATGCGAATGGTCATGGAAGGAGAGGAGGAGCGATTGGAAGTGCTCTGAGGAATCAGACAGAGGGTGGGGAAAGTCAAGGAAAAGGCTGGTGATGGAAGGAAGCATGCTTGTCATGGGATGGGCACTCCTGGCTTTTGGAGCACCCATAAAAAGGGATTGAGGCTGAGGCTCCTGGGATCTGGCCAGCGAAGATCGAGAGGAGGAAGAGAATGAGAGGCAAGTGGTCCCATCATGGATGGGGTCATAGGAAATGCCTGGGATATGATTGGGCATTGTAGAGAGGTCAGGCAAGAGAGTGCAAGAGGCCTGGGAAAGAAGGGGCTGGGGAAGTATAGAAAAGAAGAAGGAATAGAAAAAATCAAGGAGAAGAAAAGAAAGCAGTAAGGGAAGGGATTTCCTGGACGTTTAAGGAGCCTGGAGGAGGACTCAGGAAGGACTTCCTAGAACTGACACACTTGTGCTTCACCCTCGGGCCCATGTGTATAGATATCTGGTACCTCTCGGACAGAGTCACCCCTTTGCTTGCTGGAAAATAATGCAGCACAGACCACCCCATAAGACCCCTGGTCCTCAGGGGCCAGGGGAGATGAAGATCTCACCCAGGGCCCCAGCTCCAACTCCTCCCAACCCAGCCTAGCTGGCAGAGCAATGGAGGCTGGGCTGCCCATCCCATACACCCAGTACCATACCTGGCCTTGCTGCCATCACCCATGATATGGAGGCTGCAGCTGCATTGAGAGGGGCAGAACCCCCGGGCCTGGGGGGGCCACCCAAGGGCCAAGAGCCAGAGCATGCCTAATGCCACCCTCATGGCTCCTGGCTCCTCTCTGGCCCAGGCAGGGGCCTGTCCCTGGACCGCTCCGTCCCACCGGCCCAGCAAGCCCAGCAAGCCCAGCAGCTGCCCACTTGCTCGCCAGCCCCTTACACCCCCTCCTGAGGCCATCGGATAAACACTGACAGGCTGGGGATTAGGGAGGGGAGTCCCAGCCCCAGCACTCAGCGGCTTATTGCTTTCTGAATCACTCAGTCCTGAGGGTGGGGGCGGGGGACCCCCTTCCATAGCAATAGTGACAGGCCCAGAGAGGCCAGGGCACAGCAAAGCAAGACAAGTAGGCAGCTTCCCAGAGGCGAACAGCCATGGGACTGTCATCTGCAAAGCACCCCATCCCAACAAGGCCACGGACAACACAGACTCCAGTGGAGTGCCAGGGAAGATGGAGACAGAACCCCCGCCTCAATAAGGGCCTTTGGAAATTCTTTCCTCTGACACTGTCTTCCAGCAAAAAGAGCAGTGAAATGAAGCAACGCTTCTTGACGGTGCTAAAGGCATTGGAAGGAGGCTAAGCTCTGGACCCAGGCTTCCTGGGGTCAAATCCCAGCTGTTTCATTAATGGGCTGTGACCTTGGGTGAGTCACATTCTCTCTTGGCCTCTGTGTCCTTATCCGACAAAGAGAAATAAAGCTACTCCATGCAGGGTGTTTGTGAAAATTAAACTCAAATTCCAAGGCCTTGATAGCCTGTGGGAACAGAAGCTCCCTCATAAGTTGTAAGTGCCCAGTTTCACTGGTTTTTTTAAGTCCCTGCTTACAGAGGAACTGGACAGATTCAGATATTTTGGGGAGATATCAGAGGTGTCTCTCATGAGCCCACAAATGGTCCCAGGCTGCCAGGCAAACAGCTGCCTGCCTTGAGTGCCCCATGGATATGGACTCAGCACACTGCTATTTCAGCTGGCCCCTCCTGGGCATTACTATGAATGCCAAAGGTGGGGATGTCTCCACATGAGGGACAAGGGCACCCCTCTCCTCAATGGATGGTACTCCAGCGAGGGCCCCAGAGAGGTAGCTCAGAGAGTTCTTAGAGAAGGCACTTCAGGTTTTTTTGGAGACAGAACCCAACCTCTAATAAGGGCTTTTGGAAATTCTCCATTCATAAAGCTTTCTTTTGCTTTATAGTGACAGAGTTGCTCTGTCACTCAGAATGGAGTGCAGTGGTGTAATCATAGCTCACTGTAGCCTCGAACTCCTGAGCTCAAGCCATCCTCCTACCTCAGCCTCCTGAGTAACTGGAACTGCAGGCAACCACCACCATGTTTGGCTATTTTTAAAAAAATTAGTTTTTGTAGAGACAGGGTCTTGCTGTGTTGCCCAGGATGGTCTCAAACCCCTGGCCTCAAGTGATCCTCCTGCCTCAGTTTCCCAAAGTACTGGGATTACAGGCCTGAGCCACCGCACCCAGCCTAATTTCAATTTTTACCTATTCTCTCCTAACCCTATCTCACTTTACCATATCTACTCAAGATGCCGGTGGGGACTGACCAGGGATGATTCCTAATAGTAGACACTCAGTTGACTCGCTCATTTATTCTTCACATTTGACCCCGAGGCATTGTTCTCTAGTCCAGCGTGCCCTACCTATGTTGTTTGACTTTTCTAGAGGGTTCCCCAGTCCTTCATGCCTGTGATTCCAGGCAGGCCTAGACCAGTGAGGTATATGACCTGCAAAGATCTCTGGGGCCCCAGCGCACACACAAAATGCCTAGCTTGGTGCCAGGTCAGTTTTGACAATACTGGCTTCTCATTCTTTCCTTCCAGTGCAGCCAGTAGGATTTTCCCAGTGTTTCCCAGCTATACTTCCTCCTCCCCAAACCCAGCCACCAGATGTGCCTGTTTCCACATCGCTGCTTCTTCCTCCTTGTGTCTTTTGCCCAAATGAACTTTACCGTTTAATCTTGGCCTTGCCCTGCTTTATCTTCTCTCATGAAGGCTTTTGTGACCTTGAAGGCATGAAAAAAGGACTGACATATGTATTAACCAACACCATAAGGTAGAAACTGAGAAAGAAGGCCGGGCGCGGTGGCTCATGCCTGTTATCCCAGCACTTTCAGAGGCCGAGGCGGGCCTGAGGTTGGGAGTTCGAGACCAGTCTGACCAACATAGAGAAACCCTGTCTCTACTAAAAATACAAAATTAGCCGAGCATGGTGGCACATGCCTGTAATCCCAGCTACTCAGGAGGCTGAGGCAGGAGAATGGCTTGAACCTGGGAGGCGGAGGTTGCGGTGAGCCGAGATTGCACCATTACACTCCAGCCTGGGCGACAGAGCGAGACTGCATCTCAAACAAACAAACAAACAAACAAACAAAAAGAAATTGAGAAAGAACAGGGAACGCTCTGGAGGGTGCAAAAATAAGCTCAGCCCTGCGGAGGGATTAGTTTAGATGGAAGTGAGGACTCATGAGAGGAAAGGCCTGGGAAGTGGGCATTCCTGGAACAGAGCGGGTTGCTCTACCAGAGTGCGTCAAAGATGCCATTGAAAAGTGCCGGCCGGGCGCGGTGGCTCAAGCCTGTAATCCCAGCACTTTGGGAGGCCGAGGCGGGCGGATCACGAGGTCAGGAGATCGAGACCATCCTGGCTGACACGGTGAAACCCCGTCTCTACTTAAAAATACAAAAAACTAGCCGGGCGAGGTGGCGGGCGCCTGTAGTTCCAGCTACTCGGGAGGCTGAGGCAGGAGAATGGCATGAACCCGGAAGGCGGAGCTTGCAGTGAGCTGAGATCCGGCCACTGCACTCCAGCCTGGGCGGCAGAGCGAGACTCCGTCTCAAAAAAAAAAAAAAAAAAAAGAAAAGTGCCTAAGCCTGAGGAATAGGAGATTGACTTTTGTTCCAGCTCCATCCATAAATTACTGCATGGCCTCAGGCAGATTTTAATTGTTTTTAGCCACAGTTTCCTCGTCTGAAATGGAAAGGATAATGGTATCCAATTCAAGGAGTTGTTTGTAGGACTCATCAGAAGATCCCTTAGCACAGTGCCTGACCTCGCTCAATATTAGCTATGTTGCCAACAGCGCTCTGGAGCTTGGTTTCTTAATCTGAAAATGAATTAAGTTGCCCTAGATCAGTGTTTCCTGGTGTAAATTTTATCACGAGCCAGAGCATAACAATGCATAAAGAGCCAGTGTGTCAGGAAGTCATTTGTAGCAGCCAAAGCTCTCAGTGGGGCCAGCAAGGCTGGGCGGGTTGGGGGGCGGAGACTGAGAAGACAGCAGCCCCTCTGTTCTAAGACAGTGTCCTAGGAGATTTTTTATGCTCGTGTGGCTCAAGTGCTCTATGGGAGACAGGAAATGCCGCCCTGTGGTTTATATTCACGATATCTAACCGGGACTTATACAGAGGCCACAGACAAAAGACATTGACATTGCAGAAAAGTAAACGAAGAATCTAGTGGTCCCACTCCAAGGTACATAACTAGTTAGTGACAGATTCAGAACCAGAAACCCATTCTCCGGTCCCATTTGGGGTTCTTCCTCTGACAACAGGTGACTTCCCAAACTTCATCCTTTCCCCAGCGCTTTGGAGTACACACATGTGAGCCTGAGGACACACGCGCCCAGGCACCGGGCTTGTCAGGAACAGCTGCGGCTCAGATCCCTCCTCCTGCTCCCCTCCCTTGGTTATGCAATTCTTTTCCAATAAGGCTCTCAGTCTCACACCATTTGGATTCCCCGACCTTAATCCTGTGCAATGGGGCTGAAATGAATGAGACAGAGCTCCATTCTGGCTTCACAAAGGCTGCATTGTCCAACTCGTGAACGGGTTCCTTCTGCTTGGACCAAGAGGACCATTTGCAGGGGGGAGGCATCCAGAAAGAGCCCAAGGTCCAGCATAATAACGTGCATGTGCCTCCACGCACATGGGATGGCCCTTTAAAAGGGAGGGCCTGGCTGTGGGAAGCCAGAGACAGCTGGGCCACTGGCAGGAGGGAGAGTGAGGATGGCAGAGACCAGTGCCCTGCCCACCGGCTTTGGGGAGCTCGAGGTGCTGGCTGTGGGGATGGTGCTGCTGGTGGAAGGTGAGCCAGGCAGAACCTGGGGTGCAGCGGGGGCCCAGTGGGTTCTGAGGACCCAGGCCACCAATATGGAGCTGGCAAGGAGAGGCGAGGTCCCCAAATCCAGCTGGGTGTCAGGTCCCCTTGACTGCCTTCCCCTCTGTGCCTGGACTCAGGGGGTGTTCTGACAGCTGAACCTGTGAGGTGCAGCACACTGCCTGCCAAGCAGAGAGTAAGCCAGGCAAGGGTCAGGGAGGGAGGGACTTTGAGAGGGGACATCTGCCCAGGAGATGATCAAGAGCCAGGCTTTAGGACTTTTCATGTCCCTCCAGTCGGGAGGAAATTTAATCCACTCCTTAGAAATCCTGCTAAGAATCCCACATAAGATCAGTCCCCTGAAAGGCTCTGGGGACAGACAGCTCTGCCACCTGCTCTTGTGTGACTGGAACCAAGTCCCTTCAGCTCTCTGCCCTCAATGCCTTGACATTCCGAATGGGTGGTTGTAAAGATTAAATTGGATAATGGGTATAAAGTGCTAGCCTAAATAGACTCCAGGGTATTTAAATTCATTCTCTCCCATCCTCTCCAGCCCCACCACTATTTTCACTGTGTCTACTCCTATGAGCCTAAGCACTTCGCCTCTAGGTCCGCAAGGTACCTACCTACCTCCACCTAGAATCCCTAAGATGCTCGCTGAGGCCAGAGCTAGAGACAGTGTCAATCCTGAATCTGCGCCAGCCTGAGCTAAGTTGAGGGAGAATGCAGCTTTGGTTCAAAGCAGACCCAGAGAAATCATCAGTCTCTAATGAGAACTGACAATGGAGAGGAAGTGACAGTCATTTGATTGGTCCTGAAGGCTCTGGACATGACTTTCTGGTGGCCCCAGCCGGTGTCTCCCTTTCCTGAGAACCCTGCAATCTAGCATCCCTCCAGGTCCTCAAATATGCCATAAAATTTTACCACTTTAGTTTTTGGAAGGGGTTTAAATTTACATTTTTATTTCATGTTTGATAATTAGAAATGTCATTGTATACATAATGCTTTGGTTTTTATTTTATTTTATTTTTAAAATATTTTTAAAATTTCAATAGCTTTAGGGGTACAAGTGATTTTTGTTTACATCGAT